AATGTCCAAATCCTTAGCATATTAATGTCTATCATGCATTCTGGGAGTTTATCCATTCTATTCCAATCATTTAAATCACTTAAACCAACCTAACAACCTTGGAACAGCCATAGTCATAAAAACAGAACCCTAAAATAGTTTCTGCAAAATTCTTAGCAAGGGAGCCAACTCTCGCCATCATGGAGCTGGCTCTCGGCCTGAGGGAGTTAGCTCCCTCCAAGAGAGAGCCGACTCTCTCACTAAGAGCCGTGCATATTTTTACAGAGGGAGATGGCTCTCTCCCCAAAGGAGTCGGCTCTCGACCTGCTGCACCTCATCTTCTCCATCTCTGGCAACCTCCAATCACCTCCATTAAGGGTCATAAACATCTATTCTAAGTCCCAAACAATCCCAATTAATTTTTTAAAGTCATTATGCATCATTGACACAAGTTAAAACAAGATTACATGCAATAAGATTCAAGATTAAGAAAATATAAATTCATACATATACTTACTGTTTTAATCTATTTAAGCATGCATACATCGTCAATTTATTGTCTAGTTAATCCTGAAATTAACCTAGACATGTATAGAACACGAGATCAAAAAGAAAGAGTTAGAAGAAGAACTTGTCTTAAGGTTTCGGAATGAAACCTTCTTCTTCCCTAGCTTTTTCAACAACCCTTAGCTGCCTTCTTAGTCCTTTGTTGCTCCGGTTCATCCTATAAGCAAGCATCTTCCTTCCTTCCTTGGTTCAACCTTTAACTTTGGCCAGAACCCCTCTCTTTCTCTCTCAGTTGGCTCTCTAAACTCTCTGCCTCCTCTATCTGCGTGAAAGGATTTTGAAACCCTTTGGTAGACACCCAATACATATATATATATATACTATATGTAATTCTAACCTAATCCTATATCAAATCTAAGTCTGCTACAAAAGAAAGAAAATAAAAGGAAAATAAAAATAACCTATTATAATAATAATTTCTAACTACAAAACTAACGTGAAAACCCATATATATTTATATATATCTTTTGTAACAATATATACCCATATATATATATATATACACACACTACAAATCCTTCCATAAATTTTTAATAATAATAATAATTTTATTTTTTATTATTTTATTTTTTTTATTATTATTATTATTATTTTTTTTTTTTGGGATGGGCCCAAGCCCACCCCCCTAGATACGCCCGATAATATATACACACTGAAATAAATAAATATATATATAACTGACTATACATCTATATTATTATTAATACTCATAATAATAATAATAATAATAATATCCTTATATATATATATATATATATATATATATATATATATATATATATAGCCACAGTAGTGTTCAATTGCTCCCTGGTGAATATGGAGCAATATACTCACTTTTACTCAGAACTTTAGGATCTAATCCAACAGCTATTGGGGAGAATAATTATTTTAGAAAATTAATATTATTTTAATTAGCCATTAATTATGAAATGACCATATTGGATACATTTTTAAAGAAGAAAAAAAATATTTAACGATGAACTGTCATCATCTCACCGCCACTGTCAACTCTACCCCACCACCACCTCCCCCACCACACCGCCTCCACCACCACCGCCACCTACAGCACACCACCTCTACCCAGACAGATTTGATGGCTCCTTTTGACTAAGAATTACCAAATTTACAAATTAATTGACATCCTTATAATTATTGGTGTATGTGGTGGTGGTGGGTGGCAGTATGGTGGTGATGGAGGTGACAGTGTTGTGGGGGAGGTGGTCGTGGCATTGGGGGAGGTAGTCATGGCAGTGGGGGAGGTGGTGGATGGTGGTGACGGACCAACAGTGGTGGAAAGGGGCATAGTTAAAGTTTAATCAGATTAAAAAAATTATTATTATTATTTTTAAAAAAGTATCCAATATAGTCATTTCATAATTAATGGCTAATTAAAAGAAAGATAATTACCTAAAATAACTATTGTTTCAATTAACCATAGGATTAGATCATAAGGCAATGAGTAAAAGTGAGTATATTGTTTCCTGCTCACCAGGGAGCAATTAAATACTACTGTATATAATCATACATACATATATAACTATTCATTGATAATTATCCATATCCATCATGTCAAGTCTTATATCCAAGTAGTCCATGTGACCCATTGGGTTGGTCCATTACTACTAAATCTTTTTCCTTTTAAAATATAAAATAAAATAAAACAATTTAATTTCTAACAAATAAATACAAATAATCACATAGCATTTAAACAAATAATTTTATACCAACAATTAATTAAATTACATAATTTAAACACGTAATCAAAATAAACAATCAATTCAAATAAACACATAACAATTAGTCACGAAATCAAATAATCAATTAAAAATGTAATAAAATAATTAAATAAATTTTAAGACTATTTTTTTTAAAATTAAGAGTATTACAATTACCTTATATTTTAAAGGGCGAATTGTAAAAAAAAAACCCCTCGACTATTAGCTAGTTCTTATGAATATTTTTAGCAAATAACTCCCCTCAACTATCCTAAGAGGATGTTTTTAACTGATGTCCACTTAAGTGATTATTTGAGGGATTTTTTCCGGATGAAATTACCCCTTAACAGATTATTCTTCAGATAATTTATTTATTTATTTTCTCTCTCTTCTTCAAGCAAGGTATGTAAAGCAGCAAAGAAAATTTCCAAAAAAATAAAAAATGGAAAGCCAATAAAATCATATTTAAGCTATGTATAATTAATAAAATAAAATTGAGTACAATCGTATAGGAGAGAGAAAATCCACCATGGCGTTGGAATAGAAGATGAAAAAATTAGCACCTCAAGAACTCCTTCAGTGCACTCGATCTTTAGTAGCTATATATTATAAGAGTTAGTTATTGTAAGGAAAATAATCAATAATTTGCCATGTTTTTTAGTCCAATTTCTTTCTTTTCCTTAATTGAATTATGATACAGCAATGTAAGTGGACTAAAATTGGCAATTAAAAAGTAACATAATTTCTTTTTCAAATCTAAATAATTTTTTTTTTTACTTACTTCAAGAACACGAAATACCCAAAAGTAACTTTTTGAGACGAAATTGTTGTAGTTGATGTACTCAAGTTAAAGACTTAAAAATATGAACGCTTTTAATATAAAAGGACATCGTTGCCCTCTATTCAATTCACAAGAATCTAATTATAAAGGACATTTAAGTCATTAGTTTGAGAGATATCCATTTATCATCTCATCATATATTGTTTTGATTCCACCATAAAATTGTTTTGATTCCATGACCTACTACTCGAAAATTACATACCATATGGATGAAGTACAGGGGTAATTTTTGGAAAGTTTACTCACTCTTATTATTAAGATGTTTTTTTTTTTTTTTTTTTAAATTCTTATTATGAAGATGGTAAGAAACCAAAGGAAACATAACGTACACTTTTTACATACAAATGAGGCGGAGAGAGAAAAGAGAAAAAATAAATAAATTGTCTGAAGAATAATCTATTGTGAGGTAATTTCGTCCAAAAAATTCCGTCAGACAACCACTTAAATGGACATCAGTTAAAAACACCCCCTTGGGATAGTTGAGGGGGATTTTTTGCCAAAAATATTCATAAGGGGTTTTTTGCAACTGGGTAATAGTAAAGGGGGGTTTTGCAATTCGCCCTATTTTAAAATGGGTTCCATTATGTTTAACACATGGGTACGCAGGCACATAGACTTTGTGAAGTACGTAGTAGGTTTTTATTTATCGGGCCAAATAGTATGACTCAATTTTTAAATAATTACAACTAGCAGTTACAAATTTTTATCAAAAATGATCTCTTTCTGGTGGATAAGAATCTTAATTTACATAATGCACTTAAAATTTTTTTATAATTATATTTTGATTTGATATTTTCTAATTACAATTAAATTTTAAATACATACCCAACAAAGATATATAGTTATTGAAAAACATAAAGAGTGCAAAAGAGAATATATATATATATACACACACTTGTATATATATTGAAAAAGATTAGTAGAGGAAAGCAAATTAACCATATAGAGAGAAAACCTATTGTAATTATTTGTTCTTTCCTTCTTCTTAATTCAATTGGCAATGCGTTTACTTCATTTGTGAAAGTAGGAAAACAAAATTCATAAAAGACTACAATGTAATATGTATTAAATTAGAGGATATTAATGTCTTTTTAACTATCGTCACATCAAATTCAAAATCACATCTCCAATTAATTTTAATTCGAGATGTGTAGCACTGCTCTTGAGATTTTAACTCAAATTCTGTAGCAGCTTAGGTGTCGACCCCCTGGATAGATGAATAAAGAATTTTATATGAAGTCTAAGAGCATCTCCAACCGTTGTGTATATTTTTTTTTGTGTAAATCTGATGTGTCATGATGAATTTACACAAAAATTTTGGATTATTTAATTTTAGTTCTAACGGTTGTTTTATACTTTTGTGTAAAAATATACCTCCCAATAACAACTAACCATATGTAATGCCAGGACCCCACATAACTTTTACAAACCTACTTAATATATGGTTGATTCTTTAATGGAATGAGAAAGAGAGATGGGAAAGGAAATATGTTGATTTTACACATTGGTGATGTGACAATGTATCTTAATAGATTACTGGAGATGGAAAAATTTTACACATCATAAGTGACAGTATATATTTTTACACAAAAGAATATTTTAACAGACTGCTGGAGTTGCTCTAATCTATATGAAATGCTTAGTGAGGGAAGGAAGGGCTAAAGAAGGAAGGAAGAAAGGGCCATAATTTTAGTTCCCCCACCTTAAATTAGAAACAAAAATAAACCGTTAGACCTACGTACAAAAGACTAAAATCCAAGGCTACAGAATTCACGAGGTTGAGTTAATTAATTAATGAAAAGTTTATTAAAGAAAAAGTACATTATATGGAACTACATACAAAATAGTAGTTAGACCTACGTACAAAATACTAAAATAGTATCTGCTTGATGTTGATTCTAAACCACATTGTGATACACAGGCGAAACAATGCTCTCCAAGTAGGTCTCTGCACCAAACCATTTACCAAAGATATTGAAAGTCCCTGGATATCTGTATGTGTTTTCTTTTTTATTGTACATCAGTAACCGTTTGTGGTCAACTAAAAACAGATGTTCATCATTGTTTGAGAAATTCAGAGGCTTCGCGTCAAAACTACATGGTATGATAATCCCAAGCTTAGTCCAAGACTCTCTCTTGCCGTATTCCTTCATCACCCAAAATTTGGTACCACTCCGGCAATCATCCACACCTGTGACGTTAATACAAAGACATCCTCCGAGAACTCCAACTGCATAACCTCTGCAAACTACATAATTTGAACATGATTCAATCCTTTGAAGATGTGGCAAAGGAATATCTCGAAATTTCTCCTCAGCTAAATCAAAAGAAATCATCTTCCACACATGGCAACAAAACCAATGGAGAATTCCGTTTAGAAGTAAACATGGTTGAGAATTCGACACCCCAGCTTTGGAAGGGAAGTCTTGAATCCTCCTCCAAGAATTTGTTTTCATTGTGTATAAACTTGCGACACGGGATGAGATTGCCACGACTTTGTAGTCATCAGTGGATGCATCATAACCAAATCCATACGACATGGATGGTGTATACATGAATGGTAATTTATTGAGTTCTCTAGTTGTGATATTCACCAAGTAAAGGGTATGGGATAGATGAGTTTGAAGTAATAGCAACCCATTACAAGAACCAAAGATGGAGACCGGTTCTTCTGTGAATGGAGGAAGAATGTGCTTCGCTGTTAGATCATCGCCGGACTGTACGAGTAGTTCTCTCCTTAATTGTAAAGTGCGAGAGCAACATGAAAATGCTAACTTTCGGTCTTTGGATAGTCGGCTTAGATGCATCTTAACAAAGTGAGGTTGATTGAATAAATTGCGCCATGACTTGCATACACGCTTAAACCGAACAAGAGATTTAGCAGGCAGACGTGAGAGTATTATGGTCACGAGATCATCGGGAAGGATTGGTGATGGGGAAGGACCTCTCTTTACTTTCTTCATCACTAAGTTTCTCAACCAAACTTTGTGAATGGAACCCAAAACTACGTACTAATGTGAATATATAGTATTTCTTTCTTCTTCTTTTCCTTGTAGAAAAAGGGTTTCTCTTTACGGTTTGTTACTTGTGCGGATTATTTCCTTTCTAAAACCACTTTACTCACATATAAGCTCAATGGGCCCAGATTAGTAGATTAGGATTGGGAGAACTCGTCTCGAGTCTCTCGTAACTGGTAGTATTAGATAATAAAGAAAATTCAACATCATTCTTATGCACAAAATATATCTTTTTTGGAAACCTAACTTTTTAAATGTGTAGTTTTTAATTTTTTTTAAATTTTTTTTATTATAGCAATAGAGGATGGATATCCGGATATACCCTTATATACACACACCCACACACGATGAATCTCATGCTTTTATAATTTTAAGGTAAAGAAGGTAAATTAAGAATATTAAAAAAATATTGCATTGGATTTTAAATTGGGACAGCGAAAAGAAAAAAGGGTGGATATTTTTGTGGACAGATGGAATATATATAAATATATATATATGTGTGTGTGTGAAAACCCAAACCTTTAAATTAAACCTCTTTCAATCAAAGAAGGCCTAGAAAAAGCCTATGGGGATCGAAAAAAAAGATGGACATCACCCAGCCGATTACAATTTGGCTAATTACTTGAAATGTGGCCTATTACGAATCTACTAATCTCGGCCCATTGAGCTGATATGTGAGTAAATGCCCCATTATATATAGACCAAAAAAATGTCCTTTTAAGGTAAAGAGGAAGAATTAGAAATATTAGAAAAATACTACATTGGATTTTGAATTGGGATAACTAAAAATCGAAAGGGAGAATATATATATATATATATATATATATATATATATATATATATATATATATTGGTGGAAGATTTCCATGTGGTAGATTTTATGAGGTGAAAATGTGGCTTCAAGTTCGTTTTAACTACGTTATCAACATGTGGGAGAACTTTAGGAGTCAGATAAACTTCCTTGAGAACATGAGAAGACTGTTGCACGCAGTTACCAAATAGTGAAAAAATAAGTCTGATTTATCGGTTATTGGCATTTATCATGGAGAGGAAACTGCTTATTTAAACGTCTATAAATAGCAAAACTGTTTTATCTATCTTTTTATTGGCATTTGAATGTCACAACATAACATCACTGTTTTATCTTTTTTATTTTATTCGATATATTTAGAGCATCTCCAGCGGTATATTAAAAAATTCTTTTGTGTAAAATATATATTGCTACATATGATGTATAAAAAATTTTCATCTCCAGCAATCTGTTAAGATACACTGCCATATCACCAATGTAAAAGGATTGTGTATTGTACACAGCCCTTTTACACAGCCACATAAGCATAGTCTCTCACTCCTCCCCTTTCCCACTCGTTGTTCTCTTTCTTCTCTCTCATTCCTTTACGCCTCTTTGTTTCCCACTTTTAGAGCGCCATGAAGAAGAATCTGCAACTGGCGACAAGGTAAAAACTGCTTGACTATCTTTAATTAATTAATTTATTTATTTTTAATAAAAATAGTTTGATTCATTACTTTCATTTGATCTTATCTTCTGCAATCATCGCCGTAGATTCTAGGATTTTTTTTATCCTTTTATATCCTATTCTAATGAGATAAATATATACTAGCCAAAGATTAGATATATATTTTGATCATGATTTTATATAATTGTTGTTTGATATTGTTATAATTTTTTTTTTTTTTTCTTTTTTGGTGATTAGTCAATTCAATCGCAATTGTTGTTGCATATATTTTTGGTTTCTATAGTTTCTACATACTTGAATCTTATTTTATTATTTGTTATTAAGTTAGAATTCTGGTGACGGCGGAAAAGATTTGCAATTGGCGGGATGGGAAAGTGAAATATAAGGGGAAATTATTATTTTTTTCCTAACTGAGGAGAATTGGGATGTGAGGTTTAATTGCGAAAAAATAAAGTAAATCAAGTAGGTTTGTAAAAGTTATATAGGGCCTTAGGTGTGACACATGGTTGGTTGTAATTGCGAAAAAATAAAGTAAATCAAGTAGGTTTGTAAAAGTTATATAGGGCCTTAGGTATGACACATGGTTGGTTGTTATTGGGAGATATTTTTTTACACAAAAGGTATAAAATAACCGTTGGAGCTAAAAAAAAGTAGTACAAATTTTTTGTGTAAATCTACTCTGACACATTACATTTACACAAAATATATACACAATGGTTGGAGATACTCTTACATTCCTTAGTGTAATCTTGCACTTTCAATTCATTATAGAATTTAATTTTCAACAAGTAGCCTAGTTTTCTTCCAGCATATGTATTAAAATTCCTAGATTAATGAAATTTCAGTCTTCTTCTAATTCCTTTAAATTCAGTATTTCAATTTCTTTATGTCTTTCTTTAGTTAATTCTTCTTCCACCATTTGCACAATTCTGAAGTCCTTGAAAAAGGCAAGAAAAACCTATAAGGATGGTCATTCCAGACCTTTTTCACAATCACCTGAAAATCAACTCTGCGAAAACAATATCTGAAATATTTTTTTGATTTTCCTTGGATTTAGCATGAATCCTGCCAAAACAACTTGATTACCAAAATGCCTACACAGAATGCCTTTGTGAAGGGTAGATATAATATTGTACTTGCTAATGAACTTTTGAATGGATATCATAAATCCAATCATCCACTAAACTGTGCTATTAAGATTGATATTATGAAGGCATTTGATTCTGCACATTGGCATTTTATTCTTGATTCTCTTACTTTGTTTGGATTTCCTACTTCATTTGTCCACTGGATAGCCCAATGCATAATTACACCTTCGTAAAACATCTCTCTCAATGGAAAGCCTTTTGGATTCTTCTAAGGAAAAAGAGGTCTTAGGTAGGGTGATCCAATTTTACCTTTACTGTTTGTTACTGCCATGGAGGTCTTGACCTTAACTATCAGCAACCATATTAAAATTAATCATGGATTTAGATTTCATTGGAGGTGCAAGAAACTATCAATTACCCATCTAACTTTTGCAAATGTTATTATGATGTTCTCCCATACCACTTTACCTTCAATTTAGGTGTTGTTGGATGCTTTATACACATTCTTCTCATTCTCAAGGCTTCAAATTAACATATCAAAGAGTAAAGTTTTCTTCGCAGGAGTTGATCATACTATTAAAGCTGTCATTCTCAATCTTCTTCAAAATTGAAGCAGGCAATTTGCCTGTTATTTACTTAGGAATGCCCCTATCCTCATCCTCAATCAAGGCAAGGCATTGGCAAGCACTAGTAGGAAAGATAACATCAAGGATTAGAAATTAGACCTTAAGGTTTCTTTAATATGCAGGGAGGGTTGTCCTCATTAAGTATGTGTTGTGTGCTATTCAACCCTATTGGTTTTAAACATTTGCGTTGCCAAAGATGGTTAATGGATAAATCAATCTGATCATAAAAAGTTTTTTCTAGTCTGGAATTGACAAAAAGAAGAAGGGAGTCAAGGTTGCTTGGCATGCTGTTTGTAGACCAAGAATCCATAGAGGTCCCTGATTTGGAGATGTTCAACATTATTGCCAACTTGAGGCATATTTAGAAGCTTTGTTTAAGGAAAGACGGTCTCTGGGTTGCTTGGTCTTATAATTATCTTATCAAAGCTAAGAGCTTATGGACTGTCAAGGCTACTACACTAAGCTTTGGTTTTTGGAGGAAGCTTCTTAGATTAAAAGGCGTGGCAAGAGGACTGGTCAAGCATAAGGTGGGGGCTGGCATATCAACAAGCTTGTGGTTTGATTACTGGTTGACAAATGGTCCAATTGTATGCATGTCAACTGGGGCTCACTAAGGTATAAATTCTTCGACTAGACAACCAAGTCTTAGTTGATAGCCTAATTTCCAATGACCAGTGGGTGGATCCCAATTCAATGCGACTGTATCCATTTTTTCAATCCCTAAGTTTCATATATCAATTACAAAATTTAGCCTTACCATCTCCTAATGTTGATTCCATTGAGTGGTTATCTAGCCCTACCAAGGTATTCTCTTTATCTCCCACTATAAGTAACTTTATACCTCCTTCCCCAATCTATTCATGGCATCACATTGTATGGTTTAAGCACCACATACCAAAGCATAGAATTATTTCATAGTTAGCAGTAAGAGAAAGATTATACACTCTTCATGTTAAGCTAATTATGTATAAGCATGATACAAATTACTGTTATCTCTGTCTTTTAGAATGGGAGTCCATTAACCACTTATTCTTCAACTGTAAGTTTAGTGCTCACATTTGGAAATTCATTCAGGAAGTTGCTGGGTTTTACATCTTGCCTAATTGTTGGTCAGATATGATTCAGTGGTGCTCGATCATTACATTGGAGGTCCTTAGGACTTTTGGTTCATAAGTTGCTTTAGTCTGCTGTAACTTATTTCATTTGGATGGAAAGAAATGCTAGGGTTTTCAGAAATTAGTCTTCTTCTCCCCAACACATAATTTCTCAAATCAAGTCCTGTATCAGAGCAAGACTAGCGACTATTAAGTTGAGAAATAGTACTGGCCTGAGGAAAGTTTTTAGTTTATCTCAACTTCACCTTCTTTTCATGCAAAGTTGCTCCCATGCCTGTGCTTAGACCTAGCTTTTATCCTAATCAAGCTCATCATTACAAGAAAAGTGGTTATTAAGTACGGGCTTTTTTACCATAGGCCTGTATAGCCGATAGTAAATGCCACTTTGTACCACGGGCCAAAAAAAACCCGTAATTGAAAGGCATTGAAAGTCACTTTATACTACGGGCACGCATAGCCCGTGGTAAAAGACACTTTCTACCACATGCTATATGGGCCCGTAGTAGAAAGGGAACTTTCTACCAAGGGCTAGATATGTGACAGAAAGTTATATGTCTACTACGCGTTGAGCCCATTGTAAAATATGAAAAAAAAAATTCCAAATATATTTTATATTTTTTCTACATTTGTTTTGACATATTCATCACCCCTTCAAAAAATTTATCCACTAGAGGGAAGCTTCGCGCCTTGTGTATAATATTTTAAAATGAAAATATAATTAAAAATACTCTTTTAGGACCGTAACTTCAAAAAAAAATGACTTAGTTTAATTTTTTTTTATTTTTATATATTAAGTATATACTGTATCATATAACGTGAAGAACCAAAAGCTTCTCTTTCTGATCAATCCCTAGTTGTTAGGTTATGCCGAAATCCCACTCCTCCACCGCCGATCCTCCTTGTCCTTCTTTCTTGTATGCAGGCCTTCTTTTTTCCAAGGAATCTGTTCCACCCGGGTACCAAGCTGCGGATCAATTCCAACTATCTGCAGCCGAACACGTCAACAAGAAAAATGACTGAAATCCGCTCAGTTTCCACAGACGCTCAAATAGACGATTAACTCTGGCATCCCGGAAGCTTATAGCGCAAAGGCAAACCTTCTTGTCAGCCGGTCGCCAAAGTCGTTGTCTCCATCGATCCCCTTCATACCGAGGATTCCTCTTCTCCCCAAGTACCCCTCTCTCTCGCTTTCTCGCTCTCTCTATATACATAGCTATATATCCTATAAAATTGTATTCAATTTTGATTTTTTATATACATTTTAAAATAATTTCTCTAATTTTCAAAAATATTAACTTTCTCACTTCATTTGATAGGTAACTAACTCTTGTTGAAAAATAAGATAGGTAACTGACTCTTGTTGCTTCTATTTTCACTTTCTTTACATCAAGCCTCATTTCTAAGTTGGGTTTTCATCTTTTGAATCATGCCCTGGTTCTTATTTTTGATTGTGTAAATATTACTGTATTATTTAGATGCACACTACAATCTTCCCTTATTCATACTACTTCATAGACAGAAGCGACAATTCATTAGGTAAGAAGTCATCACTCTGTTTTTATTTTTTAATTTTTGGGTGTGTGTCTTCATCTTATATTTCTTTATAAATTGTATGATGCCTTAGATATATTCAGCAATTCCTTCTTTTTGTACTCGTGACAACAATTCTAATCCCCCAACCAGAAACCAATCTACCACTTATCAAAAGGAGAACCAATACCTACCATTTCCACAATTGGAGCCCCAAAAGTTTCTGACCCTTCAGTCTTGGAATTGAAAGAGCACAAGACAAACCCACCACAATGAATACAAGACTGACCCATTGAAGTGGACTGACAGCACCGAGAGTTCTTATTATATATATATATATATATATATATATATATATATCTATCCTTTCTTTCTTATTTTTTCCCAAAGAGTTCTTATTTTAAATAATTTTTAAATTTTAATTTAAATCAATCTTACACTCTAAATTCTGGATTTCTTTATAAAAAAATCAACTTTAATTATATACCATGAAAAAAATAGTAACTTCCTGCAATAGAGTATGTTATTCCGTCGGCTAGTGAATAAGAATGAAATTGATATTGCAGTGTCCAATTCAGTTTTAACTCAATAAAGCCAGTCACTATATTTATGTTGACATTGCCTGTTGAAGAGAATGCAAGACTGATTTATATAGGCCTGTCACTTTTAAAGTTTGCGATTTCTCACTTGAAATATATATATATATATATATAATTCAATCAGTGTACATGGTTAATTAAATCGGCCTTTCTAATTGTTGATTGTTTAATGGGTTTGTGGAGTAGTGTTTGCATCATTATTAAGTTTAAATGTTGTGCAGTGTTTTGTTTATATAGTTTAATGGGATTCAAAACTTTATATATATATATCTAAACTGTTTTGAGAAGAGAAAATTGCGGGGAATAAGAGAATTTTTAGGAAGAAAATAAGGGTTGAGATTTGTCTTTGCATCTGAGCTTAATCATGTCCACAACTAGTTATTTCATTTTCTATATTATACTTACAATTCAACATGTGCATTAGCAATTTTAGTTTTGCATTGTAAATAGAATCCAAAAGCATCGTATTTATCTTTTTTTATTTTTTATTTTTTATTTTTTTTATTATTATAGTATATTTGGCTCTTTACTAATTGTTATGTTCTTAATATTTGGGTTTAAAAAAGAAGTTATTAATCAAGCTACATACTGTTGTTTGAAATTAAGCCTATACATTGATCAGTTTGTTATTTTTCCCTTTTGTTTTTCCTTGCTTTTTGTTGATGATCAATTTAACCTTTTATTCCCTAGAGTGATTATGATCTTGAAGTAACTTTTGGGCAAGTGTTTGTGCCTATCTCAGTCATTTGTAGACAAAAGTGTATAAATGTATCTTAATTCTTTTTTATTATAGGACCTAACGTTACTATCAGATATCTTGGGTAAAGATAGACAAGATGGAATACAAAACGATTAATTTATTGCAACCTACTATTTTACCTCAACCCTTCACTCTTCTTCTTCTTCTATATTCAATGTCTAAACAATCTTCTTCTCTTGAAGAGGTTTTGACACATAACTACAGGTCCTTTGGGATCATTTGATGCATGCCAACTAAGTCACAGTGCAACCACTTTATTAATACTCCATGACTGCTATGAAATTTATATTTATATAGAAAAATAAAGCATTGATACATGGACGACTTTAACTTTTAACAACGCTCGTACTTACAATGAACTTGGTTTAGGTGATGAATCACTTCTACTAGAACTAGTCACTTGGTTTTGAACAAGTCAGCAAGGAGTCATGGATAAAGGATGGATGCAACTTCTAGACAGGTTGATATAAGCTTAATATCCTTACCCGTAAAATTGTAGACGTTATACTTGCCTGCCATTTTTTTCATAATTAAAAATTTGAGTTTTCAACTGTAGAGCTTCAAATGAGTATACAATAGGAGCACAACGCTTTGTTGATTGGGCTCGACGTAATGCTGGGAATTGAGTTAGCTTTTTATGCCCTTGCAACCATTATTTAAATTTTAAATTCAATATATCAACACTTGAATAATATTTATGGGCACATAGTGGAATACGGAATGGAAGCTACATACACCGTATGGGTCCATCATGGAGATAATCGGAGTGCAAATGTACGAAATGAAGGAAATGAGCAAGGTGTGGAAATGCCTGAAACATATAATATGTTTAGAGATGCATATTTTGATGGTGAAGATAACGTTGCTACAGAGCCTACTGATGGAAGATGCATATTTTGATTTTCATTGCCGGAGATTGTCAAATTCATTATTATTGCTTTCACCTTTATAGTGAGATGGTTATTGACTTGCCTCCTATTATTTTGTCGTTGTATGCACGTGTTTGATATTGTAGATTTTCGAGCTTGTGCACAAATATTTTCATTATGTCTGGACATATCGGGGTAAGCATATGGATGCATTCAGTTAATGTTGTTATCATAATTTCTTTAGTGTTTATGTTTAAGTGTCACCTGATTTTAATGTCTTGTTTTCTTTTATTAATGTGCATGTATTTGAAATGAAATCATCCAAAAGGGCTAAAAAAAGCCAAGCAATTGAATGTCAAGCGATTGAGGCCTCACTGGAGCGTACATCGTCAGGACTACGCATTTTTGATGTGGATTCAAACTCTTCACAAACACCTACTTCTCAAGTCCTTAACAATGAGAACCGAGCAATAGGCGGTACTAAAAAAAGAGGTAGGGGGCAGTCTACATTAACTGGTATTATAGGTTCAAAAGATAAGAAGCCTCGTGTAGAGTTTGACGAGTTTGGGGAGACAATTGGGGATGTTGGTACAAAGTACAATTCAACCCTTCCAATATTAGCACGTGGGATGGTGCTCGTAACAATTGAAAAATGGAACCAACTGCCAGAAACTTTGCTAAAAAAGCTATGGGATGCCGTTCAGGTTTATTTCTTAATTTTTACTCTATAAAGTGCTACAAACTACTTTTTTAGACGGTCAATTTTTGTTCATTTAAGGGCAAGATTTCTGCTCAATTTTAAATTAGCAAAAATTACTCTTTTTAAAAAGCAGATTTCTGCTCAGTTTAAAGAGCTTTTTATGAAGTTATTTAAAATGGGCAAAAATGGCTCTTTTAAATGACTAGAAACACCTCTTTAAATGAGCAGAAACGGAAATAAAATTTAAAAAAATAGTTTAGCAAAGTGCCACTCTTTAAAGTTTCAAGTTATGGCTTGTTCTTTATATCTCTGTCATATTATTGTAGTTATGATTTGATGTTGACAATAGTGCATCCTATGACGCATTTAAAAAGATGGGAAATGCCTGGCGCTCCAACAAGTCTGAACTTACAAAAAAGGTGCTGTAGGTGAGAAATAATCCACAAAAAATACAACTCCTGAAGCCCGGAAATGTACCCACAATGGAGGAGTGGTTAAGATTTATTGAGCAACGTTTATCAGAAGATTATGCTGTGAGAATATACATCGAATTATATTGTCCTTTTTACCTCTTTCTTTTCCTTAACTTTTTTTTTTTTTTCATCATGATGTATTTGAATTAACTAAACTTTTGTATTTACAGAAGGTTAGAAAGCAGATGCAAGAATTGTAGGCTAAAAATACAACCCCACACACAATGAGCCGAAAAGGCTATGCTGGAACGGAGAGAGAATTGGTAATGTCGAAGCTTTTAATGTTTTTTTTGTCACTGTTTAAGTTCACAATATGCTCAAAACTATAAGAAAGAGAGATGATGTCGTGACCTGAGTTTTATTCAACTAGGTGCGTCACTGATGACCCGAAAGTTGATCCGGTAACGGATCCGAAATGCGGAAGCAAAAGTTAAACCAAAGCCTTTAGAGATATAAATCATCCTTAGGATACCAACATGACCTTTCATGAGGTCACGAAACTTAAAGAAAGTGAAAGGAATAGACGAGAGTAAAAAACGAGCGAAATTCGCTAAATAAGGGTAAAATGGTCAATTTACAACTAGGAAGGGAAATTTGGTCTTAATCAAGTCAAATAAGGTCCACACAATTTAAATTAATCATTTCACAACATTGCAAGAGATTCTAAGACCTTTGGACAAGAATCTCACAAAACGTCCTTTCCTGGTTTAAAGCGAAAATTGATACTGTCTCACTAAAATATGAATAACTCCCATTGTGATTCGAATCTGAGAATGGCATTGGTATCATTGGAAAGCTGACTCAAAATCCTTGAGTTTAGGCTCAAGAATCAACCCATTTGGGTTAGGAATGAAGGAGTTATGACCTTTTGAAGTTGAAAAATTAGTGGTGGATCAAAATTTGGAAGCAGCTGTGCAAAATAGAGTTTCGAACGACCGAAATAAAGTTTTGGATGGCCGAAATAGGCAGAATGTTTTCTAAAAACAAAATTTTGAGGGGAGGTTGTTTCGGTAGACCGAAATAGAACCAAACAGTGCAAAAGGCTACTGGAATGGATGATTTATTGTGCATTAAAGTTTTCAAGAGCCATTAGTCGACCGAAATGGTGTTTCGGTCGACTCGAAAAGCTGATAAAGGACCTGTTATATGCCAAATGTGTTAAGGTTCAACCCATGGCTCAAATCCCCTCATGAATTTGTTCAAAAATAATTTTTTAAAGCTGATTTTCAAGGAGATGTGAGTATGCGAACATGTTAACAACCTTAATATGAATATTTGAATATAAAACAATGGCTCATGGCCTCATACACATCAATTACAAGAATCTCATATGCTAAAGCTCCAAAGTTGGTTGAAATATATTTTTAAAGCAAAACATAGGATCAAATGAGTACAAGTGCTAAATTAAACATGCTTGGCCTTTGACCTCATTATATACACGTCTAGAGAGTATCAAAAGGTGCACTTAAGTGCACGTTACATAGTTCGAACAATAAATACATGTTTTGACATAATAATAAAAAATGAAGCATGATATGCTAACATGTACATATTCTAATATAACAAAAATGATTCAAGGATTCAAGCAAGTCTAAGACTGTTGTGCATCCCACACTAACGCTTCTTTACCTGAAAAACACCCGGTAACTTTGGGGAGAGTAAAAAAGTATATTCGTAAGGAATGAACATGCAAAAGCTTATCTTTATACAAAGTTTGCAATTTAATATAGTTTAATCCATATTATTAAAGTGACATTGAAATTTTCAACATGGCGCAATGAGATGGAATTTTACAAAGTTATCAACTTGGAAATTAAAGTGCTAAATCAAACCAATGTGGATACTTGGATATTGTCCGGATTAAAACTGTACTCTTGGGATTACTTGAGGGCTATTAACCCATGGGTACCTTCCCCTAGTGCGCACTATAGTGTAGGGAGCTCTCTATCTCCCATACTAGAGCCAAGTCCTAGCCAAGTCATGTTCTTGATAATATCGCAAGTTTCCAAAATTAACAAGTTGAGCAACAAATCATGATATGTGATAGAAACACAATAAAGCTCCATGAATTACATGATTAAATCATTAGATCAATAAGATCTAACTAGTTAATTTCTCTAGATTTCAAGAGTTGTTCAAATGATTCCAATTTAATATATAACAAGGAGTGATTCATAGCCATGCCATATATCAGGTCTAAAATGGATTACAAGTATGGTACAATTAAGTAGAATTAAAATCATTTTAAATTAATTAATTCTCTAGATTTAAAAGCTCATTTAAATCATGCCAAATTAATACACAACAAGATTCAAGTCATGGCCATGCCATATACTAAGTCTAAAGTGAGTTATATACAAGCGATAATTAGTCACTAATTTCTCATTTTAATACAAGGCATGCATACTACTTGGATATCACTACGAAAGCAATTAATTCACTTAGAAAATAAACTAGAACTTCTCCAACCTCAATAGAGAATTGAATCTCTATAATCCAAAGCAACCAAGTCCAAAGAGGAAAATCAAACTAGGGTTTTGTAGAGGAGAGTAAGAGGAAGCTAAAGTATTCCAAGCTTAGGAGTCTAAGGTGAGTAGAAGGAGGCCAAAAATGAAGTCAAAGTTCTAAACCAAGCTTTACTTCAATGGTGACTAGGTTAGGGTTCTTGAGAGGAAATAGATGAATGAAAGGGATAAAGTGAAAAATAGTGATTGAAGGATCTAGTAACCCTCTACTCACTAGGTGCTCTTACACTACCTCACACACACACTAATGCAAGACTAAATTATGAGCCTACACTTGTCACAAATTCATGGCTCCTTCTTAGGCTTAATCCCATACCTACACTTGTCAACCATCCAAGCCAACAAGTGCACCTATCCTACGCTAACAAGTGGGTGAATCTCCACCCTCCATGTGTCAAGAGATTATGCCTCAAAGTCACTCCACCCCAATGCCAACAAGTGGTACCATAAGAATATGACACTTGTCACATTTTTCAAAAATTGCAAATAGTCATTTTCCAAAATATTTTACAAATTTAATTGCAAAAAGGTCCCTAAGACGAAAAATAATTATTTTTCATAATTACACTAAAATTTCAAAAATCAAGAATATTTTCAAAAAAATATGCATCCATACCATTTACAAGAAAAGTAAATATCTAGCATACTTTTCTACAAAAGTAAAAATGTAGATATCATGGAAATTAATATCATTGTTGTATGCAAAGTCGAAATCAAATCCGAGCATAAAAAGTGAGGTTATGCAAGGAAAAGATGATAAACGGGAAAAAGGCGAAATAAGGAAAAAGACGAAAAAGGGAAAGAGATGAAAAAAAGAAATTACCAAAAAATGAAAAGAAGGAAAATGACCGGGTCATTATAACCTACCCTCTTTAAAAGGATTTTGTCTCCGAAATCAAGTTGTACTTGAAAAAGAGAACAAATGGGGATACCGAGAGTGAACTTCCTGTTCGAGCTCTCAGGTAGCCTCTTCAATGCTATGGTGTCTCCACAAGGCCTTAACCAATGGAATGGGTCTTGGTCTGTATGATCTACTCCCGTGAATCAAGAATCTGGATTGGACCTTCCTCGTAGGTCACGTCCTCATCAACAACAACATTTGTCCATCGTAAAACATGTGATGGATCCGATTCGTACTTTCTCAGCATAGAAATATGAAAGACACCGTGAACCCTATCCAGGTCCGGTGGTAATGCCAAACGATAAGCAACCTTATCGACAAGCTCCAATATCTCAAATGGTCCAATAAACCTAGGAGAGAACTTGCCAGTCTGTCGAAATCTCAGAAGTTCCTAGCGCGGAGAAATCTTAAGAAAGACATGGTCCTTGTCGTGACCCGAGTTTTATTCAACCCGGTGCATCAATGATGAACCGAAGATTGACCCGTTAATGGATCCAGATGCGGAAGCAAGAAACAAAACAATGGACTCCCAAGGCCTAACACACCTCTAAGACCTTAAGATGACCTTCCATGAGATCACGGAATCCAAGGAAATAACCGAAAGCGAAAGCAAAAATGAAAAAGGTCAAATCGTACCCTATGGCACCAATAACACCCAAGGGAATAGGATCTAGTTCAAACTAAACCACGTACACCATTAAATGGCTTGAACAAGATCAACAAGGTCAAGTGGGAACGAACGAAACGAAGTTAACCAGTCTAGGTAACAAACCAAACAAAACGCATAAGGCAGCTCTATTTCGGTCGACCGAAGTGGAGCTTCGGTCTGCCGAAGTAAGTCAGGAAAAAGAGAAGAATTAGCCTTCATTTTGGTATTTCGTGGACACCGGGAGCAAGTAGAATACTTTTCTACAAAAGTAAAGATACGTATTTTGTGGAAACCACTTAGAATGGAGATATATGAAGTCAAAAACCAACTCCGAACACAAAAAGTGAGGTTATGCCAACAAAGCAACAAACGGGGAAAAGACAAAATAGAGAAAAAGGACGAAAAGTGAATAGTGTCGTAAAACGAAAAATGTGAAAATGACTTAGTCCTTAAAAGAAGTTGCCAATCCAAAGTAAAGAGTCTCAGAAACCATTTCTAAGCACTTGAGACGACAGTAAGTGATAAGAAACCGAACTCAGGAAAAGGAATTTCAATGAAAAAAATTCATCCGTAAAATTCTGGGGAAAAAAGGAAATGAAGGAAATGACCGGTGTCCCGGGAGCAAGTAGGGTATTTTTCTACAAAAGTAAAGATACGTATTTCGTGGAAACCACTTAGAATGGAGATACATGAAGTCAAAAACCAACTCCGAACACAAAAAGTGAGGTTATGCCAATAAAGCAACAAACGGGGAAAAGACAAAATAGGGAAAAGGACGAAAAATGTGAAAATGACTTGGTCCTTAAAAGAAGTTACCAATCCAAAGGAAAGAGTCTCAGAAACCATTTCCGAGCACTTGAGACGATAGTAAGTGACAAGAAACCGAACTTAGGAAAAGGAATTTCAATGAAAAAAATTCATCCGTAAAATTCTGGGGAAAAAAGGAAATGAAGGAAATGACCGGTGTCCCGGGAGCAACTAGAGTATTTTTTTACAAAAGTAAAGCTACGTATTTCGTGGAAACCACTTAGAATGGAGATACATGAAGTCAAAAACCACCTCCGAACACAAAAACTGAGGTTCTGCCAATAAAGCAACAAACGAGGAAAAGACAAAATAAGGAAAATGACGAAAAGTGAATAGTGTCGTAAAACGAAAAATGTGAAAATGACTTGGTCCTTAAAAGAA